CCTGGCATGTGCAAAGGCCCTGGGCTCAATTCTCAGCATCACAAAAATAAACAAATAAACAAATGTGACCTGAGAGATTAATTTCTTACCAAAGAAGTTGAATCACAGTAAAGTAACATCCTTACAATGTGCATGGAAAATACTGTGGAGCTAGAATTGTACATCAAATGCTACTATTATGAGCCAGACATAATAAGGAATAGTCTACTAAATAAAACTGAGAAGGCTTCCACCTAGCCCTCTATTTAAAAAAAAAAAAATTAACAAAGTTTGTTCTTTAGGGAAGAAGAAAACCAACCTGAATGACAGGAGATAAAGTATTTTTTTCTTAACATAATCATGGGTAATTCTTATTAAGCCTAGGGCCATGGTATCACTGAGCTACACCCTAAACTCTTTTTTTTTATTTATTTTGGAGCATGTTCTCACTAAAGGTTGGCCTCCAACTTGCCATCATCCTGCCTTAGCCTCCCAAGTAGCTGGAATTACAGGCATGTGCCACCGCACCCAGTTCAATCATGGGTAAATCTAAATAAATGCTGAGTATATTAAAATATTTAATTTGTGGGATTAAAATAAATCAAGGTAGAATTAAAATTCAAAACAAGAATATCGTACTTTCTAATTGTATTGCATTTTCCAGACAGAGGAAAACCATATGAATCACCTGAAGAATTTATTTAACTAATGCACATATTTTTCAAATAAACATTTCAAAGAAAAACACTAAAAAATAGAAATCCTCCTAAATGGGAGGAGAGCAGACAGGAAGGGGAGAGGGAGACTGCTCCGTGGTGGGAAGGGGGAATGGAGAGGGATCAAGTGGGGCAAGGCTGAGAAGCTCCCGGCAGCCCCTGGTGAAGACAGACAACTGAGATGTGTTCTTCCTACTCCCGAAGGGATTGTTACAAAGCTGACAGTTTTCCTGAAACTTAGCTGCAATTTTTTCTGCAAGCCCCTCTATGGGTCTGAGACTCTGCGGCCTTCTGTGCAAAACTGGAGGCCGCAGAGTGCCACACATCACCTAGGGACACCTGCAAAGACAGGAGAGCCCTCCCTTCCCTGCCACTCCATCTTTCTCTCCTTTGGGAACACTATTCCAGCAGGTTCCCAGGCAGCTCATGAACTAGAGGGCAGGGAAATTTCCAAGCACCTCCCAGACGAGGAGACACCCGACCCACGGCCCCCAGGTCACATGAGCAGAAGCCACAAACATCAGCTGGATGTAGGTTGAGGCAAGAAAGCTCACCCTGTCCCCGCAGCCTGCAGCCAGCTCAGGAAACCCTGCCCTTCTGTCTTCTCCCTGCTCTAGCTGGGAACGGAGAGGGGAGCTCATGGGAAAGAAATGATGAGGAGTCTCGCCCCATGCCAGCATTCCTTCCCTGGCCCTCCCTGGCCAAGGGGCCTGGTCTACTTGTGGGGGTGCCAAGCGCTGATGGTTGCAGCTTTTGAAATGAGTATGAGTGGGCCTGGAACACGGAGTGGGGTCCAATCTAATGACCAAGTTGTGGAATCTGGAATCTAGTCCTAATATTGAAGAACCCAAAGCGCAATGGGGAAATGTCAGGCTGCCAACACAGAGTTAAAAGCGGTGGTTAAAAAAAAAAAATTCCTGTTTATGCTCTGGGTGGTTTAAATTGGTCAACAAATACATCATGCATAAACAGGCTGGAGAATACTTGCTCAACCCACGTCAGGCCCTCCAAGTTATCCCCATTTGTATATATACAGTTTCATCACCAAGACTGAGTTGTGCAAACGGACAAATGGCTGTTGGCTTTTCCAAGTAAACAAAAGATGGGGGGTGACCTCTGATGTTCTACAGAAAAGAAAAACAAAACTTTAGGAGAAGCTTCTAGGCAATTCTGGAGGCGTGTGGGTGGACAGCGAGGGTCAGCTGCAAAAGAGACCATCTTCCCTCGGAGGTCTCCCCTTAGGAAACTTCGTGTCAGGAGAGAAGTTGCCAAAGGACACACGGACCATTTCCTGCAACAATGACGATTAAAAAGCAAAACAAGAGAGGAGCTGACTTTCGTTTACCAGAATGAAAAAGGAGATTTCCCATCCCGTCTGACCATGAAAGGACTGGTGTAGACACTCTGAGCCGAGGAGGGAAGCACAGAGCCCTTTCTGACGTGTGTCCTCAGCTCAGCTCTGCCTGTTTCTTACCAATCACTGAGATTCCTTTTTCAAACTCTGAGGTTAATGAATTTGTAAAAACATAAAATAAAATAAAACAAGAAGATTAAACTCAAGGAGCCTTGTTCCATATCTGGAATCTCCCCAGCAGGCCATCAAAAGTGATTCCTATGAACCAGACTTTCTTAAAATTTTCTGAACACCCAAAGCACCTGAGACGTTGGGGCAAATCAGATTCTGACCCCACCTGTCCGGGGCAGTGTGGACATTTTGCCTTCTAGCAAGCCCCGCCTTGTTGCCCAGGTTACAGGACAATGAATCACATTTTGAACAGCAAGAATTGGGACCACCAAAGTGTTTATTCAACTGAATATAAAAAGTGAAAAAAAGAATTAGCTATTCCCCTGTCACCTCTCCCTCCAAATTCATTTGTTCATTAAGTGAATATGTATTAATACCCACCCCCAGGATTCCCCCAACCTGCAGAAAAGCAGAGAATTGTGCATCAAAAATCTTCCCTCCTCATGGTCCCTCTCCCAGGCATGCTCCCCGACCACCTGCTTCTGTGCTAAGGGTCAGGATCATGCCATCCCTTGGGTTGGTGTGACCCACACAGAGAATCCTGTCCCCACAGGCAAAAGAGTCATGATTACAGAGGGAGGTGGAGTTTTTATCTCCCCTTCGTCCTCCGCGGCCACAGTTCCCCCCTCCACCACCTCATCCACTCCAGAGACACACCAAGGATTGAAAATGCCCAATTTGAGACTGGGTAGCTCCCAAAGAGCTGCTACCCCTCAGGGGTCTCAGAGTTATCTATTCTGAGTGGAACCAGAAAGGGTAGAGTCTCAGGGGGGAGAGGCAGGGCCCTGCTCAGGGGAGGGAGGATACTCCGGAGGAATGGGGACCCCAGCAACCCAACATCAGCGTGATAAAAAAACTGACCAAGACATTATTGAGTCCTGCTTCCCAAGTTCCCACCGCCTTTCTGACCACACAGGACCCTTAAGTGAAAGGCGTTTCAGAAGCATGCCTTGGCTTCTGAGTTTGGCTGAAATCTTAGGCTGCTCTTCCTGCCCTGTTAGCATCTGTGTTCCCTGAAGAGATGATACAGAAATGTTGGAGATTTACTGGAAATCACATTAAAGGAGATTGCACTAGAAATCCCAGTGGCTGTGGAGATTATGATGAAAGAGCTTATCCTGGAAAAGCCGGTGGCGGGGGGCTCCTAGGGCAGCACTGGGGGATGGTGGATTTCCTGGAGACCGTGAAGGTCAGACGCAGAGAGAGAGGAAAGGGCAGCCGCATGAAACTGTGTGACAGTGGCCTAGGACCTGAGGAGACCCCGCGGGGGGTGCTCTGTGGTGCACCCAGGATCAGCAGCCCTAGCAGCTGTGGCTGGGAGAGCCAAGACAGGTGTGCGTGCAGCCCTGCTGCATCAGAGGCTGCCCTTGGGAGGCCTGTGGAAGGATCCCTGAGAAGGGAGTGTTGGGGTGCCCCTTGGGCCCACTTCCCAGCTGTCCCATGTGTCCCCCATCTCCAAGGGTCCTAGTCTGCTCAGACCTCTGAAACAAAATACCACATCCTGTGTGGCTTAAGCAATAGAAGTTCATGTTCTCATGGTTCTGGAGGCAGAAGTCTAAGGTTTAGGTGTTGGCAGCAGGTCTCTTCTGAGGCTTGCTGAGGCCTGTCTCTGTGCCCTCCCGTCTTCCCTCTGTACCCTAATCTCCTCTCCTTATAAGGAGGCCAGACATGTTGGATTAGGCCCATCCACTGACCTCATTTTAACCTGATTACCTCTGTAAAGGTCCTGTCTCCAAACACAGTCACATTCTGAGCCACTTGGGATTGAGAATTCAACATACAGATTTTGAGGGGGACATATCCAACCCATAGCATCCACTACATTCCACTCTATTCCAGAAAGGGCTGGAATGGTGCCCTTTCTCCCCCCAGGACTCTGGGTGCTTGTCAAGCCCCGAGGACACCCCTGCTGCTGTGCAGATTAGGATCGTTGTAGATGGAGTCCTGCGTGTCAACATCTGTGACGACTAATAGGCAGCACCTCACCCCCGCCCCTCGGTCACTGTTTCTTGAGATCAAGCTGGTGAATGAGCAAATAATTCAGCCCCATCAAATACACTCGTGAACACTGGGGTGTGAGAACCCTGACCATTCTGCCCTGTCACGCCCGTTTACGCACCAACCTCAGAACCCCCTCCCCCTGAGTGCCTTCTCCTTTATATCTTCCCTTCTTCTGTTCCTCATCTCCCTACACTGACTGCCTTCCTGCCTAATGTGTCATTCATTTGACAGTAAAGTAATATTCATTCCTTGCAGCCTAGGATTCACATCTTGTCTCCTAACAAAATTGCCAACTCCTTGATATCCACAAACTAAGTCTGTGTGTTATAAACCTTGCAGTCAGCAGCACACAAGAACAATGAAGTTCAACATGTAAACCCGCCACGATTTCATGGATGCTGGTAGAAGCACAAAACCCCTGAGTCAAAAGATAAAGAACCATTATTACTCACAGCAACGGCAGTAGCCATTGCTACCGGCATGCAGCCCTTCTGCACTGATCCCACGAGCCCAATTCCCACAGCCATGCAAAGAGGCGTTGCAAGTGCCAGCTGCACATGTGATCAGCTGGGTTCCAGGAGAAGACCCCTGAGTTTAAGGAACCTGATTCTTTTATAACAGGCAATAAGCTTGCCTGTCCTTTGCTCCAGAAGGAGACACTACTTTCCAGGGCTACTCCTGAGGAGGCACAAATATCTTTGGAAAGACAGACTGGAGCACAGGGGGTCAGTGCCACTGCTCCCAAGACATGCAGAAACACCACAGACTCACAGACAGGCAACAATAAACGTCTCTTTATGAATCTGCTTTTCTTGAAGGCTACCTATGTGAGTCTCTACTATGGTTTGGGCCATAAGTATCTCCCGAAGGTCCACATGGTAAAGGCCTGCTCCCCAGAGTGGTGCTATTGGAAGGTGCTGGAACCTTTGAGATGGGGTCTGATGAGAGATCCTCAGGTCATTGGGGGTGTGCTCTTATAAAAGAGTGCAACCCCAGCCCCCTCCTTTCCATGTTTTTGTTTGTTGTTTGGTGGAGGAGACTTGTTGTTTTTATTTTTCGCTCCCTGATCGTGAGGTGAGTGGATCTGCTCCACCACCTGCTCCTGCCTCGGTGAGCTGTCTTGCCACAGGCCCACAACCAATGGGGACAGTGTATCATGGCCTAAACTTCTAAAGCCATGAGCTAAAATAATCTTTTCTTTGGGTGAATTGATTATCTCTGGGATTTGTTATGGTGATGGGAAGCTGCAAATTCTGTCTCTTGACACAATATGCACCTCAACCCAGCTTGGCTTCTGGACTCCGCTACGTTTGCATTTACTTATTTGGCAAAGAATGGGGGCTTCGCTTGCTCCATAGCTGGCATAAAGTAAATGCTGAGGTTCAGGCTCTAATTTCTTCCCTTGGGTTGGGGTTGCCAGTGATCCTGGGCTCAGGTTTTCCTGAGGGATGGTTTGTGGATTTCAGACCTTGGGAGAGGAGTAAACCAGTTAAGCTCTGTGAGTCCTGATTGCCTAAGCGTTCTAGCCTCTTAGGGCACTGGTGTGGCCTGTGGAGGAAATGACAGTCTGCCCACACCCAGAGTTCAGCTTCATGTGTCCTGTTCAGGTTTCCAGGCTGTTGGATGTGGTTTGTAATCAGTAAGAGATGGAAATAAAAATCGGAGTATGTTTTCTGCTTAAGTCGTTCAGTGGCTCAACACCAACTCTAGGGCAGCGCCCGAGTCCTGTGGTGCAGCGTCTCAGGCCCTCGGCACCTGATCTCAGCCTCTTCCCTGGCACTCCTGCTCAGCTTCAAGGGTGGCTCCTAAAACCCACCATCAGGGTTCACGGCTCCCTTCGACTCTAATGTCCTCTCCTTACACTGAATGGAAGCAGATGGCAAGGGGCCATTCAGCTCTGGGATCACGGAGCAGAGCCTAACTAAACGCAGCCTGGCTGGGCCTCGCTTCCGTGGGCTGAAAGCTCTCATAACACACGCAAAGTGTAAACACCGAGGAAGACCAATCTTTCTGTGCCAATTCCTTTTCTGGTTGTTTTTTATTTCAATCAGCTTTCTCCAATGTGACGAGACCTCTTCGTGGGACCAAGACACTGGAAGAGCGTGGTGGAGGAAAGGCGGGGAGAGAGGGCTGGAGAAGGGCAGCACAGCGGCTGCAGCAGAGGCAAGAGGGACGCCTGTGGCCCAGGGACAGTCACCATCTCCCTGTGGGCCCAGGGTGTTCCGGACAGGGACATGCAGAGCCCCAGGCCAGGCTGCTCAAAAGATGACCACAGTTGGGGTCTTCTCCTTGGAGACGGAGGGAACCTCCCCCAGGAGCTTCTTATCTGACCCTTCCTCCTCCTGGGGAAAAGACAAACGGAAAAAATCAACCAAAGGGAGGAAAAAACACTGAGGGCAAAGTCAGCTCCCCAGAAGTTGACCCCAGGAAAGAGGGAACAGAAAGGCTGACAGGAAGTGGCAAACAGGGCCTGGTGGCAGAGGAAGGGGAGATGGGCAGTGCCCAGGACAGAGTGGAGGAGAGAGTGGGGAGCTGGAGTAGAGGAAGGGGCAGACAGGCACCGGGAGGCAGGGGTTAGCCCCCGACGCACAACGGGTCCCATTCCCAGACAGAGCAGTGGGGAGCCCAGCCTCTGAGGTGGGGCCTGCCTTGGACAAGGGAGTTCAGGCCCCGATGCTCCTCCCTCTCCCTCTGTTTTACTGCTCAGACCCACACCACTCAGCAGCACCTCCAGGAAACCTCACCAGGGGCTGGGAGCTCTGGACACACACACTCCGGAGACACAGTCCCAGGGAAGCCAAAGCCAAGATGATCTTCAGGATACAGACAGCTGCAAGCAGGGAACAGAACGCTAAGAACATTTTCTGGAGATAAAGGAAGAAAGAGATACGGTCAGGAGCCAGCCCCTCAGATCCCGTCCAGACCACCACCTTATCAAAGCACAGGACCCTGCGCGAGCCACTTCCCACCAAGGTAGACTGCGTTTCCCGGCAGCAGGGACCACCATCCCTCCATCCTCCTGGCTTCTGCAGTGGCTCCTCGCCACCCTCTGGAGAAGTGGGGTCTCTTTCTCCACTCCCTTGAATCTGGAAGGGTCTGCCTTGGCCGTAAAACCCAATGGGAATGGCCCACACAGTGACAAGCAGCCTCCAACCAGCCTGGCAGCTTCCGTTTCCCCCTCTTGAGTCGCTCACAGCTCTACGCCCGGGAGCTTGTTGCATGCTAAGAGCTTCCTGGAGAAGTCATTGCAAACTCTGGCTGAAGCCCCAGCTGAGCTCCCAGCCAAGAGCTGTCCTCATGCCCTCAAATGACCACCCCCAAAAAGCATCTGCCTGCAACCACATGGGAAAACCCAAGTCTGAGCCCAGGGAACCTACAAAACTCTCAGAAAGAACCAACTAGAGCTTTATGTTGTGGGATGGTTTGTAGATAGCAAGAGATAACCAGCAACATCCGCAAAAAGCCAGGAGGGTGGCCCACAGTCTCCTCCCTGCTCCTCATCCCCTAGATTCAGGGAATCTCCATGTTGTGGGGGGTTGAGAAACATCTTTGGCTTAGTGAGACCTGGGTGAGGTCCAGGTGTAAAGCCTGCACCTCAGCCCTCCATTGTCCCCGTTCCTCGGAGCCCAGGATCAGGGTGGGTCCCTGGAAGGCTGCACCCTTCCTCACCATCATCTTCTCCATGTAATTCCTGCACCTCTCCTCCCTCCATTTGTCGTTGTAGCTCCTCCACTTGTATCTGTAACTAGTGGTTGTGTTGAGACCATCACACAGAGAGTTGATCTCCGTGACGGAGGAGCCGTTGGTTTGCCAGACCAAGCTAGTCACACAGAGGACAGTCGCAGCCACTGCTGTGGCAATACACGCAAGGATGAGCAGGCCTGACACACAGCCCTGGAAGGAGAATGTCAAGATGCAGATTCTATCCAGCAATGGCAGAGCCGTGAAGTCCCCACCCTCCAACCTGTCTCTCCTACCCCAGCTCCTGTCACAGAAAACCCCGTCAGCACCCCCAGGGGTATCCTCAGGATGTTGAGAACCAAAGGGTAGAAGACAGAAAACTGAGCAGGAAAACTAGACCCAGGAGGGAAGAGATGGAAAAGAGTAGGAGAGAAAGACGCGGCTGACCATGACTCACGGAGAGTTTGCCCGCGTACTTCTCATGGGCGATGGCCCCAGCTCCGGCTATGATGGCCTGGAAGAGAAGACACCAGGAGAAGGCCTCCAGCCTACTCCCCTGAACTGACCCACCCTCCTCCAATGGTGCCCAGACATCCAGAGCGAAGCAGGGTTCAAGAGACAAGTGAGGAAACCTGGCGCCTGAACGGAACTTCAATTCCACTCTCCCCGCCTTCCCAACCTTGCCTTGAAGACAAAAAGGGCAAGACGGCTTCCTGGACTCTGGTGGCTTCCGCAAGTCCCCCACCCAGAGCCAAAGGAACTTTCTCCGCCAACCCCTTGCCTCCCTCTGAGCTCCTGGCCACCTCCTTCCTCACCACACAGCCTGCCCAGAAGGCACAGCCAGAGGCCCGCAGCTCCGACCCGGTCCCAGGCCCAAAGTAGAGACCCACTCCGAGAGTACAGCTCACAACCCCCAGCAATATCTGGGTCACCTGCAAGACAGGATAAAAAGTCGACTCTCCCCGTGGCCTGCACACCCCAGGGCAGCCTCGCCTCTCTGCCCAGGGGCTTCCTGCCTCTCCTCTGTCTACCTCTTCTCGGCAGCTCCGACTCCAGAAGGTTCTGTTCCCTCAGCTTTCAAGGAGCTGCACCCCTCCCTCTCGTAGGTTTGACCTGTTTTCCTTCCTGGCTTCTTCTGAATATAAACACTTCCTCATCCACCTGGTGAGTCCCCCTTTTTTCTCCCCCTTCTCCCTTGGGAGTCTCATTCTGTGCTCCAGATACTCTGTCTCACCTCAGCTTCTGGCCCCACGGGGCTCTGTGGTAGGCACAAAAGTGTGTGACCCCATCCAGAAAGGAGTGTGGTGGCTGAGAGCCTAGCCAGCTCAGCTCCTTTGGGGTCCCCCTCCTCTTTCAAGCTGAGGGCACATTCTTTGGGGATGGCGTCCCAGCCAGGGATTGAGCAAGATAATGGTTCAAGGCCATCACGCCAATGTGGAATCTTGTGATGTGCCGTCTTGGCTAGGGAGCTCCCCAACAGAGACCTCGTCAGCCCTGCACTGCAGGCTGAGAGCCCCCTGCCCGACCCTTCTCATCTCTTTTCATTTCATAGGTGCTACCCCTCAATAAACCATGCAACCCTAACTCCAACTTCCCAGGAAACCCAACAATCACAGGCTCCTGGGTACCACTAGCTGCACGTCCTGGGAACATCTCAGCTCGGTCGCAGCTAAAATCCACTGTGCTCCTGCGCTCCAGGGTCCCTTGCTTGCCCTCCAGGACTCCTGTCTCCCAGTCGGCCACACTCCAGACCTCGGCATCTTGAACCCATGTCTTCCCTCATATCCCAAAGCCAGTGACTCCCAAGTCACAGAGACCCAAACACAAGGGTGGGGACGCCTTTATTTCCTCCCCACTTCTGCTACGACCAGTGAGAGCAGACGTTCCATACGTCTGACCTGGATACCTCCTGCTCGGAGGCAGCCAGGGCCCAGGTTCCTGCTTGGAGCCCACCCACAGCCCTCCTGCCTCCGAGGCCGACTCACCAGGCCTCCCTGTCATTCAAGGCCCTCAGCTGGCCACGAGGCTCTCAGCTGAAAGTCCGATTCTCTCTGCTCTTTACGATTGCATAGGCTTTCTGGCCTCTTAAACTTTGTTCCTGCCATTTCCTTCACCTGGAATTCCTTTGCTTCTGCTGCTGCCACCACCTTTTCTAAACCCAGTCCTTCTGCGCTCAGGGTCTGGTGCAGCCTCCACTCCTGCCTGCCCAGGACACAAGGTGTGATTCTTGTTTCTCCCATCACCGGATCCACCTGATCATTTGTGTTATGAACTCTCTGCAGGATGTGGAGCACGTTTAGGTGACAGCCCAGGTGAAGGGCCCAGCAAATGGCCTTGTACCTGCAGCCCTCAGTCCCAATTGCACTAGCAGCTCCAGAGAGTCTTCTGCCTGCTGCCCCACCCTAGGCTGGCACTGCCCGCTCTGCGCCATTTCTTTCCATCCCGTCCTCAGTGGGGAACCCTCAAGCCTTCTCCCAAACATGACGGAAAATGCACAGAGTTCATGTCCCTCCTGGTGGGACTCAGCCCACTTTCCTTTTCACTTCCTATTCTCCATCCTCTGGGTCACCTTGGTGTCCCACCTAGCCCCCCACACTCACCCCCAGAGCCAGCTGAGCATTGTTTATCCTGGCCCCAGAAGGCCCAGTATCCCGAGGGCGTGAAATGAACTGCTTCAGGGAAGCCCCAGCTTTCAGCAGCTGTGTCAAGGCCGATTCCTGGTGGATGTGGATATCAATGTGGGTGGGCTGGGACAGCGTAGAGACCACATCAACTCCGTTCACGGTCACCTTGTTTTGGGTCATCATGCCTGGTAGGGAAAAGCCAGACAAGAGTGAATGGAGTCTGAGAATCAGGTGAGGTGAAAAGCCATACCTGACCTGGTTGAGTCCAGAGGTCCTCCTGGACCAATACCAATGTCCCAACAACCTTACCCTGGGGTGCAAATCCAGAATTTCACCACATACCTTATTGGACCCAAAATGACCTGTGGGGTGTAGGATAGGACAAAGAAAAAATTCGGAATAATTTTAGTGACTCGGTATATATGTTTGCACACAACACTTTCACTAGTTAAAAAGTTCAAGAGATATGGAGATGTGGCTCGGGGTACAGCACTTGCCTGGCATGTGCGAGGCCCTGGGTTCTATCTCCATTATACCTTTAAGACCTCTCTTCTGTCTTTTTCTCCCTGACGTCTAGTTGCCTCCCAAATGGAAAGTAACATGATCCATTTCCTACATATCTTCCAATGACATTTTTCACACCCAAAATGGTCTAAAAATAATCTTTCTCTCCCCTTTTCCTAGAAATGGCAGTATCCTGTACACACTGGTCAGCACAATGCTGCTTTCCTATTAGTATATGTTTGTAGAACAATCCTACATGTATCCATGAAAAGCTTCTTTATTCATTTGCTTAGCTGCATAGCATCAGGTGTATGAATCCATCATGATTTATATAAATGTTCCCTGATTGACAGCTTTTAGGTCATTTCCAACGCTTTTCTATTACAGCCAATGTGGAAATGTGCATTACAATTTCAGAGGGTACGAACAGTCACTCTCCACAGAGGGAGCAGCAGCCGACAGGAGTGGAGCTGCCCTCCCCACGGCACAAGAGGGTGAAGCAAACTCTTCTATTTCAATATTAGATGGGAAATAACATTCCATTGCAGATGTTAGTAATTTTGCGCAATAAAATGCTCCATTTTAAATGCGATAAGCATTTAAAGCATTGAGATCATCAATGAATTTTGACAAATTTATACCTTTGTGCAACCACTATTACGATCAAGATATAGATATCTATGTTGGAAAAAAAAATGATTCAATGATTCTCCCCAGTAAACACCCCAACCACCAGCTGCAGGTAACTGCCAATGTGCCTTCTGGAGCTATTCCACTATATTTTAAATTTTCATTCAAATATATTCCAGTATCTATTATATTTTAATTTTCATTCTTATCATAAATGAGGTCCATCATCTTTTCATGTGTTAAGAGCCATTGTCATTTGTTTTGTGAGCTCTTCCTCTATATCCTATGTGCTTCCTATTTTATTTTGTTTTGGTCTTTATTGAATTTCTTTGTATATACAAAAAAGCTTACAATCTCTGCCACGAGTTGCAGTTATTTCTTTACAAGTTGTTATTTATATTTTGACTTTGCTTGTATTTTCATAGTTTTCATTTTTAAAACTCTAGTTTAAATTTATAAAAGCTCTTCCTCCTTTTTATGCTTCCTAGGTCATATCACATACTTTAAAAGGTCATCCCAGTTCCAGATGTTAAAATAATTCTCCCATGTTTTCTTCTAAGTGATTTTAGGCTTATGGTTTTACTTTTTAATATTGATCCCTCTGGAATTTGTGTCCTAATTTGGAAGACGTGGATCTGAGTTTTTATAGTTGTTCCGATGCTTAACTTCTGAAGGATAGCATCTGTTTGTGAAATATGTCATCTTTCAGCAACTCAAGATGCTCTCCTGAGCAAAAATAAAGTTCCCATAGGAAGGGAGGTCTACTCCAGTCTTCCTACTCTGCCCATTGGTGTGTCTGATGAGCTCTGCACCATTACTCCAATTTAATTAGTATAGAGCTTAATGTCTGATTATGCTGTTTTGTGATTCCCTATGCTATTTTTTCAAAATCATCATGCCCATTTTTGGGAAATTATTTCTCCATATATAATTTAAAATTGACTTCCCTAGCTCCAAGAGAAATCCTACATAGGTGACTCTAACAAGGCATGCAAGTGAAGTGTCACAGATTAAATCAAATAGTAATATCGACTCCGGTACCACCTCCCACTGTATGCTGCCACTCTCGGAATATCTCACACCCCACCACCACCACCACCAGCAGCAGCCTTCGTTGAGTAAAAGAACAGGTGTTTGATAGCTTGGAGGAGGCAAAAAAGAGATCCAGGCTCACTCATGGGCACACAGAAGGAACACCAGCCCTGGATTTCAGATCTTCTGTTGGGGACCCAGAGTTGGCATCAGGTTGCAGTACTGAATGTGTCCTGTGCTCAGATACTTTACCCGAAGGCTCCCTGGGCACTCCTCCCACCCCACTGCAACCCTCTGAAGAGCAAGATCTGGACCCTGCAGCACGCGTCAGACTCCACCCCCACCTTCCACTGATTCCACGCAGTGGGCTCTGCCTGGTGCCCTGGACACTTCCCGGTCCTTCCTCCCAGTGCTCAAGGGGTTGGGGACAGAGCACCCTGCTCCCTCCACCCACAGCCCTCAGGGCTCAGTCTTGAAGGAGCTCCATCCACCCAAGCCCAGGACGGAGACTGGAGGCGCTGGGGAAGGTGGGGCAGAGCAGGTGCCGGCCTCTCCTCCCCTCAGGCGGCTTCAGTCTTGAAGGGACCCTGGGCAGTGGAGGGCCCTGCCTCACCTGCTGTCCTCTGGGAGCTGGCAGAGCCGAGCAAGCTGGGAGGAGAAGACTTGGAGCTGAGGACCCTGCAGGGTGGTTGGGAGGGAGGGGAGCAGCAGGCAGGGGTAGAGGAAGAGGGCCACTTCCCAGCAAGTGGCTGAAACCAAGGGGCCCATCTTGGGGGGTTCCATCATACACACACACACACACACACACACACACACCTACTCAGACAGCATGCAGCAGAGGCACACACTTGCTCAGAAAGCCCTGGCCTGACAGGGGCTGGAAGAGGGGACACCTTCATAGGATCCCCCAGGGCATGTCAGTTGTGTGCCTACCCTTCATGGCTCCAGCTCCCCAGTGCCCAGTGACACCATAGTCTGGAAAGCCCCTGAGGACCCCCAGCCCCAGCTGTCTGCGGGGAAGTGCTAAAGTTTGGTCACTGCCCTCAGTCTCCATCCCTCTGGCTCCCCACCAACTTCCTCCTTCAGCCAGGGCAGGGTCCTGGGCGCCAACCAGCACCTTCGCGGTCCTCACAGCTCTCCCTGCCACACACTCGCTCAGGGGCCCTGAGGAGAGCAGGTGAGGAGGCCCCAGCCCTGGCCCCCCAGCACCACCTCGCCCCCCACAGGCCTGGCTCCTTCAGAGCTGGCCGGGGACGGAGGGACCACCCCACCGGGATGGCTCCAGCAGATGGGACGGGAAGAGGCAAGGAGGGTTCTGGCCTTTGACCTCCACCCCACCACTAGTGGGGCAAGTGGCATGGTCAGTGCTGAGTGAGCTTCAGTGGGGGGGCTGAGGGGTCTCCAGGGCCCTCTGGGGAAGAGCCGCCAAAATGGAAGCTCAGCAGAGGGCCAGAGCTTGGGGGCCTCGGGATTTGGACAGTCAGAGGGCTCTGGAGAGGAGAGGCCGGAGGAGAGCCCAGCTGGGGGCAGGTGGTGGACAGGTGAGGCCCACGGAGAGCTTGACCCTGACGCCAGGGTCTGACCGTGAGTGGCAGGAACAGATATGAGGTGGAGGAGGAGCCCTGGCAGGGTCAGGCTGCCCTGAAGATAGCCTTCAAGAAGGGCCACATGTGTGGCTCTGTGACCAGGGCGGCCACCCAGTGACCCTGGGCACTCTGGCCCTGATCTCGGGAACTCCAGTGAACCTGCGAACATCTGCCAGCTGCCCTTCCTCGCTCTCCTGTCCTCCCTCACAGCCTGTTATCCAAGGACATGGGGACGGCAGACGATGGTGAGGTGGCTCCCGAGGCCCTGCAACCCACCCACATCAGTGTGCACGTCCACCAGGAGTCGGCTCTGGCCAAGCTCCTGTTGGCAGGATGCTCTCTGCTGCGGCTCCCAGCCCTCCCCGGAGGCACAGCCCCCCAGACCCTCAGCAACAGCCGGCTGCTGGTGGCCTCCTGGGTGAGTGTGGCTGCCCATCTCACAGGACCCTCCCTGGTGGGACATCCCTGTCCCTCACATTAGGCCAAGGAAAGGACCCTCTTCTTGTGGGTCACACACTCTCTGCCAGTCTCTCTCCAAATAGGTGCTGGGCCAGTTTTCTCTTCTTCTTAGAAATCAGTTTCTCCATCTTCTCATTACAAGCAGGGCATGGGGCAGGAGGCAGGGGAATGAGTTGAAAGAGTCCCCTCTCTGGGTTTTAACCACCAGTACCTGAAGTATGGGTCCACAAAGCCACCATAAGGCCTGGGGGCAGGGCTGCCTCTGTGCAGGCACCTAGGAGCTTGTCTTTAGGTCCTCTGTCTTCCAGGTGGTGCAGCTGGTGCTAGGTGTCCTGAGTGGCATCCTGGGGGGATTCCTCTATATCTACAGGCCCACCAGATTCTGCTACTTGGGAGCTGCCATCTGGACCGGGGCTGTGGTAAGTGAGGCAGCAGGTGACCAACCTCCCAACAGAAGGATAGGACTTCCCAGGACCACCCCAACATGGTGGAACAGAATGTTAGCCACCGAAAAGACCCTAACTATCTAGGCCAGTTTGTCATTGATGCAGATAAGAAAATAACCAAAGGAAGTGGGGCGATGTCTGAAGTCACAGGGTCACCTCTCTGGTCCCCTGCCCAGTGCCCTTCCCACCAGAATAGGTCCTCGTTCCCATTGTCCCAGTTATTAGCTAAGGCTCTAAGGACCTACTCACCTCCAGATGTCTGCCCTGAGATAGGGGAGGCAGATAGAGAGTCTGCAATCCCCAGAGGAAGCGTAGCCTCCTAGTTCCCTGTTGTGCTCTGCACATCACTGGGAATCCAGGCACAAAGGTCAAGAGATGTGTATGTGCAATCTTCAATGGGAGCTCAGTGGGCTGCTCATGGTGGACCTGGGGACTCTCCGACAGACTTGCACTCTTTTGATAGTAAAACACAGAGAGATAGAAACAAAAGACGTCATCCCAATCCATCCAGTGATAGAAACACCTGGATTAGTTACAGAATAGCCAAACAGGATTTGGATCCATCTGTCCTCAGGGCTACACCAGACTTTCTGATTCTTTGAGCCTAACCAAATGAACTGTAGAGCTGTTGGGACAGGCCCTGGAACCTGGGGCTAACCAAAGACATCCTGCCTTGAGAGCTTCTCCACAACCTGGACTTCCACCCCTAAGATTGCCCCAACCCTGGAACTCTCATGAGGCACCTGGTGTGGCTCAAAAAGGAGGGTTTTGGAGAAGGGAGGAAAGGCTCACACCTGGCTTGACCACGAGCACTTCTAGATGTCACTAGAACAGAGCATTCTGTAGCCTCAGGGGTTTGACCCAACTCAGCATCCTCAGTAGTTACATAACTACTGCTTAGCGCAAAACCTAGGAACATACATGGTGTGCCCATGGGGACACAGAGGCACTCACGTTTCCTGTGCACATCACTGCTGATTTAATCTCTCCCCAGGCCGTGCTGGCTGGAGTTGCTGGATTTCTTTACGAGAAACGGGGTGGAATTTGCTGGGTGAGTTCAGGTCAGGGCAGGGGAAGGAAGGAGGCTCAGGCCAGAGGCCAGTCCAAGTCTCCTACCCCATCATACTTGAATGTCACCAAGCATGGCCCTTTTGTCCCCAGTGCAGGCTCTGGGAGAGACTGCATTGCTGAAGTCTGCCCCTGCCTCCTCCCCTCCCCAGGCCCTGCTGAGGACCCTTCTCATACTGGCATCTTTCTGCACCGCCATTGCAGCCATCGTAATTGGGGCTAGTTCCTTCCATGAATACCACTACTTTGCAGATGAAGATGACTGTAAAATCTACTCAGAAAATTGGCCCACTAAATCCCCCATCACCCCAAGTCCCAAAGAAGTCAGAAGGCTAAACCTGTGCATCTCCCAGGTGAACATGCTGAGGGTAGGTGGCCAATGTGAAGGAGTGGGCAGGGAGGGCCAGGAAGGGGCGAGAATAAGGCCGTCCACAGAAACAGGTGCCCCTGCTCTTCACCTGATGATCGTCACCAAGCACCACAGGAAGAGCTCCTGCGACCGTGAGTGCTGCAGACCATGGCACAGACAAGCCCTAAAATACCGACCATGAGAAAACCGGGGCCGCAGGACTTCAACGTGTTGCAAAGACGTTAAAGGAAACTGCTCCCTTGGTCCTCTCAAGTCTTGGAGGTTGTCAGGGAATCCAGTCCTAGACCCAAGTCCATCTCCATAGAGATGAGGACACTGAAGCCCAGAGGGAAGGGATTCTAGCTGCATCCTACACACGGGATGCACTGACTCACCTCCAGAAGCCACAAAATTGGCAAAAAGCATGGAAAGGGAAGGAGAGCCACTGAATCTGGTGACCCTGGCTTTGGCCCTCTGTCCCCAGGCCCTGGTCATAAGCCTCCAGGCCATGCTCATGGGTGTCTGGGTTCTGTTGCTTCTGGCATCTCTGGCCCCGCTGTGCCTGTACTGCTGGAGAAGATTCCCCCCGAAGAAGGTGAGTCCCTAAATGTGTGTCTGTGTGTTGCGGGTAGTAGAGCTGTTCACAGCATCGTGCCTTTCTACCCCAACTCAGAAATCCTGTTTTCAATCAAGTGTCTCCAGCCCAAGAGCCCAGGAAGCCAGGGAAGTTCATAGCTATGTCAGCCCTTTGGTGCTTTTTGAATCAGGTACCTTTCGGCCAGTGTTAGATCTGGCTGACTCCAGAATCAAGCTGTCCTGGAAGAGAGAATCTGCCCTTTCTCTCCTGACTGGGGTTGTCTTGCTCTCTTTCTCCCTTAGAAAAGACAAGAGAGGAAACTACTGGGAGCAAATGGGATCTAGCCCTGAGCACTCATTCCTTCGGAAGGAGAAGGTGCTCCTTCTGCTCTACCTGTCCCCGTATCTGACTCTTGGAAGAACCAGCAAACTGGAGGGAAGAGACTCCCATAACCTCACAACCATGGGGGTCATGCTCGTCCCACGACCATGGCCGTGCCCTGCTCCACCGACCTTCAAACAGCTCTCCACTCTCCACTGCTCACTTCGTCATCCTGCACCCCTCCCTGTCCCCTCCTTTGCAGTAATTTGAAAATAAATTGCTCCTGGATTCTTACTTTGCTGTTCCAGGGAAGTTCTCTTGGCTGGGAGGGCAGCGGAGCGTGAGCCAATCACAAACCCAAGACGCTCCTCCCACAGACCCAACCTTGTACCCGGGTCTAGAGGTGCTGGTCCTGAACCTAGACCCCCTTTGAGTCTGGTTCTGCAGCTGCGGATCCTAATGCCTGGGTATGAAGGATGCAGGGTGTGGAGACTCTGAGTCCTGCTCCCTGTCATTCAGATTTAAAAAGGTAAATGCTTGGCCATTTGATGATTGGATTTTTATTTTGACCATTTGACAATATTAAGAAGTAGACACATAACACCAAGATAAAATTATTTTAGAAATCATCTTTTTCAAGATAGGATGTCCAACAGTATGATGAAAAAAAAAACCAGAATAATTGTCCCATGGAGGGGAAAGAACTAAAATGCAGGATATGAATCATTTGTTTTTAAATCTATGGGTAAACTACCAGAAAAATGAGGGAAACTCTCAAATGTCATAAAAGAAGTAGGGGCACATTCGGAGAGATGAGTCTTGAAACCAGCATCTGCCTGTGTCAGGTTCCACATGCCCAGGGCTCCAACTGAAGGACCCACCAAGTCCAGCAGCCTCTGCCTGTACTCAAGGCTACTCTGTGACAGTATTGACAGTGAAGACTCAGTTCTTTTCTCCATTGCCCATCCAATAACAAAGACAAGCTTTTGAGAAATAGGAAAAAGAAGTTTTATTAATTTGTCAGCAAATAAGAAACTCAGCAGACTCAAGACTCGGAGACTGCAATCGTAACTTCCAGGGGGAGCAGGGGGCTTGTTTTTTAATTTAAAGAGAGAGAATCTTTTAATATTTATTTTTTAGCGGACACAACATCTTTGTTTGTATGTGGTGCTGAGGATCGAACCCGGGCCGCACGCATGCCAGGCGAGCGCGCTACCGCTTGAGCCACATCCCCAGCCCCGAACGAGGGCTTTTTAAAAGGAGAATACATGGGCCGGGTTCCAGGTGTGCCCATCAGGAGGTACAACTCATAACCAGATGGGAGCCTTGAGAAATGGCTGTTTCTTAGATCTCTTAGTACCAATTCCTAAAAATTCTTCATTCCTTGGTCAGTGAGTCAAAGGATACAATAAACCCAGCGTAGGTCAGGAAGAATATTGATCTTGCTTCTCCCACTGTTGGGGAGGGGAGAGGAAGGAGAGAAAGAAAGAAAGAAAAAAGAAACACGTTCATTTTTAAATAAGCCTCCAGTGGTTGAGCAGCAAGATTTATATTTAAAGCCTGAAGTATACCCTGTTACATGAAAGGGACCCCTGTGACAACCTCAACAATAGGTGGGTTCTGGAGGAATCCAAGCCCAGGCTTACTGCATCCTCCCAAAGTGAGAGACCACACAGGAACATGTCTGTGTTTCTGCCTAGGGAAGTCCACTTAAAAGTCAAAAATTTTTACTGGGGGCTGCCACAGAGGCACTCTCTGCCTGCACAGCTACTACAATTCAAGACTCCAAAGGGAAAATCAGGCACCTACATCACATCTGTACAGTCCAGGCGAGCCGAGGTGGTGGAGTTGTGTCCAGGGACATAAAACCACCTTATCAGCACAGGAACATTGCAAAAGCCAAAAGCCAAGAAGACAGCCCAAGGCCAGCCCTGCAAACAGAACCTTGATGAGAGCAGTCCACTGTGTCCACTCCCTCCGGTGCACTGCTCTCTGGGCTTCTGCCAGCTTCAAACTGCTCTGAACGGTCATCAGCACACTTAGAGCCTCCCAGGCTGAGCAGTAAAGAGCTGAGTGAAGAGCTCTAGGAATCTTCCACCTCAGGGGATAACTGCGGGGAGTCCACTCCATCAGCGAGATGACCAGGAGAATCTTGGTGAAAGGAGTGAGATGGAAAGTCTCAGACACAAGCTGGTTGCAACAAGAAGCCACAGATTGTTCAGAGGATCAAAAACCCTGGAAGGAGACTTTAAAGGCCCTCAAGATGGCAGTGACTCAGACGCCGCCTGTCGGAAACAAATGCAAACTGTTTGGAGAAATTCACCTTCACCTGGGGCTCCAATAAATTCCTGAAAGCATGGTTTCACGGAGGGGGAAAAAAACACCTGCGATTTAGCACAAATTCCAAACATCAAATCAAGGACACAAATCTTTCAAAACTGTCATATTTAGATATAGAATACAAAGTTATAAAGTTAGCATGTTTCATATGTTCAAAGAAATAAAAAATGGTAATTCAACTATTGGCAAAAATAAGAAAATTTAAAAAGTAATCAAATATGATTTTAAAATCCCAATGAGAGCATCTAGAAATGAAAATTATAGTAATTCGAATAAAGCTCCCAGTAAGCAAACAGCTGCAGAAAGAAGTGGTGAACTAGAAGACAGGTCTGAAGGAACTGCCTGGAATGCAGCTGAGACACCAGGTCTCACCTATGTCCAGGCAGAAGCCCAAGAGGAAAAAACAGAGTGAGAGAAATGTTCAGACACAGTGGCTGAGAAATTTCCTGAATTAACAACAGAATAATAATTCTCAGAGAGAGGAAACAAGCAAACATAAAATGAAAAGAAATTCTCATCTAAACACATCAAAGAAAAATTTCAGGAAACAAAAAGAACATCGTTTTGTTTTGTTTTGTTTTTAGTTGTAAGTGGACACAAGACCTTTATTTTATTTATTTATATGTGGTGCTGAGGATCGAACCCAGTGCCTCACACATGCTAGGTAAGCATTCTACTGCTGAGCCAAAACCTCAGGCCCCAAAAAGAACATCTTAAAACCACTCAAGTGACACTGACCAAAAAGAAAAAAAAATGGCAAAATTAGCCAGGCGCAGTGGCACACACCTGTAATCCCAGCAACTCAGGAGGCTGAGGCAGAAGGATTGCAAGTTCAAAGCCAGCCTCAGCAACTTAGCAAGTCCCTAAGCAACTCTGAGACCCTGTCTCAAAATAAAATATAAAAAGGCCTGGGCATGTGGCTCAGTAGGTTAAGTGCCCCTGGGTTCAATCCCTAATACAAAAAAAAAAAAAAAAAGAAATGGCAAAATTCTTTCTTTCCCTCCTGGCAAAAAACAATAAAGTTAAAGGGTTATACAGACTTTGTTTGGAAAAAAAAAAGTTAATTCAATTTAGTCTTTGCTAGCTTATTTATTCATGTGTTCAGGCAACTAATACCTGATTGGAATAGTTAAATGCAAGTCCTTTATTAAGAGTTCAAAGACAATTACCAAAAGAATAGAAATAATCATAAAACTTTAAATTTGGAGAAAAAATGTAAAATGAGAAAAAAATGACTGCAAAGTAAGAAAACAGGAGATAAAAACAAATGCTTTTTAAGAAGAAACAAATAGCAGAAAAACAATGGTCATGGGTCGAAATTAAATTATGTAAATAACTGCAATAAACACAAATGGATAAATTTGTCTTTAAAAATATAAAGATAGACTGTATTTTATAAAATTCAGCCACATGCCATTTACATAAAACACATCTAAAACAAGAACACAAAGACTGAGAGTAAAAGGATGGGGGGAAAAGAAATAACAACCACATTGGCACAGTTCCACTAAAATAAGACTTTAACTAGCCTGCACGAGCCCTGGGTCTGACCATCAGCACCACTAAATAAATAAATAAATAAGACTTTAAGGTAAATAGTATTCCTAGAGACCGTCAATCTCGTAGTTGTTCTTCCTTACTAACAGAAATCCAGGTTTGTTCAAGGCAGCTGTGTACCCTATTAAAAAAAAAAAAGTCACCACCCCCTATCTTTTTTGCAACCAGGTGTGTTAGTCCCTTTTCTCTTGCTATAACAAAGTACCTGATGCTGGGTACTTATAAAGAAGAGGTTGGCCAGGAGTGGTGGCTCACACCTGTAATTCCAGCTACTTGAGAAGCTGAGGCAGGAGGACTGCAAATTCAAGGTCAGCCTGGGCAACTTGGTGAAATCCTGTCTTAAAATAAACCTCAAAAGGGCTGATCGAACTCCTGGGTTCCTTCACCAGTACTACCAAAAAGAGAGTGAGAGAGAGATTTATTTACTCATAGTTTTGGAAGCTAAAAAGACAAGACCTGGAAGCCGCTCAGGTGAGGGCGCCCTTAGCTGCACATCACAATATGGCTGGTAGCATCATGGTGGGAGCATGTGCAAGAGGGAGGGACCATGTAGTAAGACAGGAAGCCAGAGAGAGATCCAGGGCCCAGCGTGCTTTTTTTATAACTCATAACTCACTTGCCAGAGAACTACTTTGGTTCCTTCCAAAGGCGTGCCTCCAGTGACGCGACCACCTCGAATTAGGCCCCACAACGAGGCTCCACCAGGAGGAAACCAAGCTTCCAACACATGAGCCTTTGGGGGACAAGCCACAGCCAAACCATGGCACAAGGGTTGCTGTGACTCCTGCTCCCAGCCAAGGACAAGTCAAGAAAAGTCACCAGGAACAGAATGATTGATTGGTCTCCCTACCTTCCGCCCTTTGCCTCCCCCTTCTCCATCCCACTTATTCCCTCCAGGACCTGGGGCCCTATTCCTGGAGCTGGAGGACTCATCTCATGGCCAGGAGAAAACCAGCTGCAGGCTCCAGGAGTGTGGGCCCTCGACAGCATAACCGACTGCCCAACCCGTCCTGGACACTCACCTCTTCATATAAGAAAAATAAACTCCTTGCCAGCTTTAAAAAGAAAAGGGAGGCAGGAAGGGAGGAAAAAAGGCATTTACAGTAACAACAGAACTGTAAGTTACCTAGGAATAAATCAAGATACTCCAGACTGATTGAAAATGGAAAGGTGTATACCATGCTCACAGAGGGGTTTGGATATGGGCTGTCCCCCAAGCCTCGTGTGCTCAGAGGTGGGGCTTTGGGGAAAAGATTAGATCAAGAGGGCTCTGCTCTCAGCAGTGGATTAATCCATCGATGGCTGAGTGGACTACTGAGAGGGGCCTAGCTGGAGGAACGAGGTCACTGGGGTCATGCACTGTGGGGCTCATCTTCTCTTGTGCCCCTTTCCTTTCT